TACCCCAAAACCGGCTCCACCAACCCCTTCTCAGCCATGGCACGGGCAGCCAATGGGGAGGAGAGGCAGGCAGGCACACCACAGTGGTGTCTCTGAAGACAAAAGCTTGGCCAAGCATGGCACACGCCATCTGAAGCGCAAATACGCTGCTTGCTTTCACACGAGCTTCCTCACAGCAGCCCCTTCCTGCTCAGCTTGAACGAAGCGTGAGCACAGTGACTGACTCGGGGTGTGCAGGGCAAACAGGCGGCACAGCAAACACACAAAGAGCCTTCCACCTTCCAGGCACTTCACCAGGTCCCTTCTGCCTCTGCTCTTCCTTACCTGGCAGCGAAGGAGAAAGATTGAGAGCTCAGACCCCCCCTGATTCATGAGTGTAAGGGTACAAGAGGCCCCAAGACCAACTCTTCTACAGGAACAATGTAGGAAAGGAAGAAATCCACAATTATCCTTGCAGAGCCATTTCCCAGAGGGACAACCAACCCTACTTTACACTCTCTGAACTCACCCTGCAAGGAAACACTGCCCTGTGCTGGATCTGATTAGATCCACTTTATGCAGTTATTTGCTCCTAAGTGCAGCTCAGGACACTGTTCCCTTTCCTGTGGGAGCTGAAGGGTGTTTATAGGAAGTAACATGGCCCCATGCAGCTGGGTACCTGGTCCTTCTGCATTTCAGAGACATGTTCTCTGCTCTTTTCTCTCCCAAACTCACCTCCTCTGTTTCTCTGCAGGCACTGCCTATGTGCTGTCATGTTACTTCAGCAACTGGGCCCAGTACAGGCCTGGTGTGGGGAAATTCATGCCTGACAACATCGACCCGTGCCTGTGCACTCACCTGCTCTACGCCTTTGCTGGGATGAGCAACAATAAGATCACGACTTACGAGTGGAACGACGAGACCCTTTACCAATCCTTCAATGGCCTGAAGAACCAGTACGTACCGAGAGCAAGGGGCATCGCCTGTGCTCCCTCCGGTCCTACCCAACATCTGTTCTCTGCAGAATGGCAGCACAATCCGTGGTTGAGGGATGCCAAGGAGAAGAGGCAGAGAGTGACAGGGAGGAAAAGGGAGGACAGGGAAGCACAGGCTGCCACCACTGATCCTCAGAGGATGGTGACAGTGACTCAGGGCGCTGTTGAGTTGCTCTTTGGGTTTCACACCAAGGGCGCTGTTAGAAATTGCCAAGACTAAAGCAATACTCCCTGCACCTTCCTTTCCAGGAACAAAAATCTGAAGACTCTGCTCTCCATCGGAGGATGGAATTTCGGGACAGATAAGTAAGTGCAAACTATCTCCTTCCTGTAACAGCAGCTGAAAATGGAGCGAGAGGGGGGAAGAGGCACCAAACAAAACCCCAACTCTGTCCTGCTCTGCTTCCCCAGGTTCTCCACAATGGTTTCCACTCCCCAGAACCGCCAGACCTTCATCAAGTCCGTCATCAAGTTCCTGCGCCAGTATCAGTTTGATGGGCTGGACATCGACTGGGAATACCCTGGCTCCAGGGGCAGCCCAGCCCGGGACAAGGAGCTCTTTACCGTCCTGCTCAAGGTAGGTTCTGGTCAAGGCCTCTGCACTGCACAGCACGATCCAGAGCCCTGGAGAGATGGAAGGTGTCAGCCCAGAGAGTCTGTGGTGATTTCTGTTTCTTGGCATCCCTCAGGAAATGCTGGCAGCTTTTGAGCAGGAAGCCAAACAGGTCAACAAGCCCCGTCTCCTGATCACCGCAGCCGTTTCCGCAGGACTTTCCACCATTCAGAGCGCCTACCAGATTCCTGAGGTTGGAAAGTGAGTAGCAACCCCTCAGGTATTGTTTCTGTGACTTCCATGGTCTTCCTTAGGTGGTTAAGTCAAGCTCTGCAGAAACAAACCTCATTACATGTGGGGCCCATATACTTGTGCAAAAGGCAAGAATGGTACAAGAGTGGTGCTTGTTTGGTGGGAGAGGGGCACCTCAGGAAGGGAAGTGTAACAACAGACTGCATCCACCTACTGAAACACATTGGGGAACATCTCCTGGTTCCCAGAACAGCAGTGCAATCCCACTCTGCCTCGCCCTTCTCTCTGGAGGAGAGAATTTTCTCCAGCGTTTACAAGGACAGCTCAAAAAAAGGCAAATTGGCAGAAAGTGGGGACACGGCTGGGGATTTGGTGGGGTAAACGATCAGGTCTGGGTGATCCATCAGGCCAGGAGACAGAGGTGGGCAATGTCTGCACAGGTACTTGGACTACATCCACGTGATGACTTACGACTTCCACGGCTCCTGGGACAGTAGCACTGGGGAGAACAGCCCCCTGTACAAAGGCCCAACCGACACCGGGGACAACATCTACTTCAATGTTGTAAGTTCATTTTCCAAGACCGTGTCACAGATGACAGCGACAAGAAGCTTAGAAGCTCATCCTCTTGCCTACAAATCCTGGCACGGACTTGAACAGTACCATTTTCCCATAGGATTATGCTATGAATTACTGGAAGAGCAATGGTGCCCCAGCTGAGAAACTCGTTGTTGGATTCCCAGCGTATGGAAATACCTTCAGGCTGCAAAACCCATCTGACCACGGTCTCGGGGCACCGGTGTCAGGACCTGGTGCAGCTGGACCTTACACACAGGAGGCTGGGACACTGGCTTACTATGAGGTATGTGTGTTCTAATCACATTGACTTTTCAAATCATTTTAAAGAAGGGAGCCGTGGAGCTTTCTGAATAGCGACCTCAGACACAAAACTGCCCATTGAATTGCAGAAGAAAAGCGATTTAAAATAGTAGAAAGAATCTACACATGAAAACAAATGTCTTAGTAATGACCTGAAGGCACTGCACAGTTTAGCAGCGAGGGTTTGATACAGATGAACAGGCATTTCTGTAACATAAAGATGATTCCTCCAGAACAATAAGAGAAATTACTGATATTATTTTTAGTATCCATAGAGCAAGGAGGAAGAAGGGGATGCTATACTTGATCCTTTCCCAGTACAATCTAATGTGTCCAAGTAAGCCTTGGAACTTCTTAAGCTCATTTCACAAAAGCTAAGAAAAAGTTACTTATTCTCAGGGACCAGACAAATGCCACAAAACAAGAGAATAAAGTCAGGGTAATGGCAGAGCCTGGACTTTTCCTTTTTTTATATGATACTCAATAAAATTTCACCTCTTGGTCCTTCTCCCCAGATCTGCAGCCTCTTGAGCTCAGGAGGGACCGAGGTTTGGGATGCCCCCCAGGACGTGCCCTATGCTTACAAAGGCAACGAGTGGGTTGGCTATGACAACATCAAGAGCTACAACATCAAGGTATGGTGGGATGCGTGGCTGTGCTGATACAACAGGAGGCTTTCTGCTATCAGGTCCCTGGACTAATTGGGATTTCTCCTCTGGCCCTCCACAGGTTGACTGGCTGAAGAAGAACAATTTTGGAGGTGCTATGGTTTGGGCCATTGACTTGGATGACTTCACTGGCACTTTCTGCAAGGAAGGCAAATATCCCCTGATCACCACCCTGAAGAACGGCCTTGGTCTGCAGAACAGCGGTGAGTAACCGGAGCAGTGTTCGCTTCTTGAAGGGGACTCCCTGGCTCACTGCTGATGCAGGGCTCCAGAGACCCTACCCACAACAAGGGATTGCCTAGAAAGATCCCTTCACTCTACACACCCTGGGATACAGGAGAGAGAGTAACTTGGACCTGGGTCCAGAAGTTTCAAACCCCTGGTGTGAACCGGGCCAGGCTTTCATAGCTGAGCCCAGCACTAAAGGGCCGACGGAAGGATGGGAGGGCAGAGAGACTGTCAACACAACACTAACTCCTTTCCCGCTTCTCTTTCAGACTGCGTGCCTCCCGCTCATCCTAATCCTCCAGTCACCCCAACTGCCTCTTCCACAGGAGGAAGTGATAGTGGGAGCGGGGACTCAGGTAGCAATCCAGGGGACTCTGGTGACTCTGGTGACTCTGGTGACAGTGACTTCTGTTCTGGCAAGTCCAACGGCATCTACGCAGACCCCACCAACAAGAGCAACTTCTACAGCTGCGTCAATGGCCAAACCTACATGGAGAGCTGCCAGTCCGGTCTCGTCTTTGACAGCAGCTGCTCCTGCTGCAACTGGCCATGAAGATACCAATCCTATCACATCAGACCCCTCCAATCAAATTCCTTGAAATAATAATGAGTAAATAAAGTGTACTGAAAAAGCAACAATGCTCACTGTTTTAACTCATCTCCCTCTTAATATTTTGATACTCCCTGATTCTCTCACGGCACTCACACTTGTGCTCAGAGAAGGCTCTGTTTGCACAAGCTGGACATTCTGGTATAGCCATCTAACCTTGTTTTTCCAGGGGTTTTGCACTGCCCTACCTTGACAGCCAGGCACAGGGAAAACATCAGAGAGCAAACAAGGGGCAGATCGGGCTGTGCCACAAGAGAGATCACAGAGAAGGCTCCAGACAGCACAATCTATAGGCTGCCTCCTCAAAGACTTCTCCTTTGTTGACTTACAGTGTGCAAACAGCAGCTCCTGGGAACAGGAGCCAGCGCAGCGCAATCCACAGGACCGTTATTAATCCCCCTCTTCTCCCCACGCCCTTCAGGTGCTGCCATTCCAACGTTCCCTGCAGCACCCCCTGTTCCGTGCCTATAGCAACTGGAGTACACACAGAGCCGGAAGGCTGCCTGGAGGGCAGCATGGCAGCGCAGTGGAAGCCGAGATCGAGATTGAGAGGTGAGCCATGCACCCGGGGCTGTGGGCACGAGGGCTTTCCTTCTCCTGCAGCTCTCTGGTACCACCAGGCTTCACCAGCAATCTTCCCCACAACCAAGCTGCCAGGCTAGTCTTAGCTCAGGCTGGGGGAAAAGAAGCCTTTGCGGCAGGAGGGAATTTGTGCCTTCCAAGGGGCACTGATATCCAGGGTCGGGGGAAATTCCCATGTGGGAGATGAGGGGATGGTTGGCCTCAGGCAAAGAGCAGCAGATAAGAAGGAAGGAAAGCAGCAGCAAGTGGTCATCTCCGCTGCTGGCATTTCTCTCTCCTGCTCTCGCAGATGTGCAGAATCAGATCGCATTTGGGTCACGCCAAGAGCGGAAAATGTTCCCCCTGCACCAGGCCCCTGACAGGCTGGGAATCCAGCTGATAACCATCAGGGGACACCCTTCGCTCGGGCCAGGCTGTTACCTCAGTCAGGAGGTGAGTTGTTCCGTTTTCGTGCTCAGAGCTTTTCCTTCACCAGAGACACAGCACAGGAGCAATAGGACATGGCCCGGCCACACATGGAGGCCCCCACACCTGCCCTGCAAAGCCGGTGTACAAAGTCTGCACATAAACCTAGAAAAAGAAATTCCCCTTCCCTTCCAAACGTACCAGACATCAAAGCTCCAGCTGCCCTAGCACACTACATTAGTGAGAAATTAGAGGAATTAACAGGATTAACATTGTACTTCTGCCCTTCCCCTGATGCAAATGATGTCTTTAAAATGTCAGTAAGAGGCTTCTACTTTTGAATCGCAGAGAAGCAGCCACAGGTTCTCTTTGGAAAACAAACCACTGAGCAAGAAAGGCTACGTGATAGGAGCCAGAACAGCCCAGCGTTTCATACCGGAGCCACAGGTAAGAAAAGCACATTTCAAAGCAGCAGAGCTGCAGCTTTGCAGGAATCTGCAGGCTGTTCCCACCACGGACTCACATTTGCTGGGGCTGCCTCCAACTCCGTGTACACAGTAGCTATAGCTCCCCTTACACATAGCCATGGGAGGTGTTGAGCTGACGACTGATCGTATTAGCTGTGGCAACATCAACATATGCATTTGTACATACACAGTCCTTTGTATCACATACACACACTGAAAATGTTCATACCGAGGGAGAATCAGGGAGGGAGCTCAGCTGCACCACCTGAACAAACACGCTATGGTTTCTAGCCCAACATCCCTACAACAACAGTATATCAGGAGAGACAACACAAGCCACGCTGGGTAAGGAGCAGGGACTGCATCATTGACTTATTCTGCTTTTTTTATGCTATCTGAGTAGCCATGCATTCAACAGGTCTGCAATGCCCAGCTGGCTGCTGATCAGAGTGGGCAGCGATGGTTTGCAGAGCAAAACCTCCCGCGCTGAAAGTTTCTCTCTTGCAGACTGTGACTCCCAGCCCAACAACGTACCAGTCATTCTGGACGAAAGAGAGGAAATGTCAGCCTGCATATGCTCCGTTTTCCATGAAGGCACCACGATTTCCAGATAAGCCTTCAAGCAAAGAATTATTCCCTGGGTAATGTCATTCATTTTCTTACACTTTCAGTAATAAGCAGGAGTGCTATCAGAGAGAAATACTAAGACACAAGTGGGGGATAGTTAACTAAGTTCCCAGTAATGTTTTGTATCTTCAACAAGCTCCCCTTGCTTTAGTCTTTAACTTAGCACGATAGCTAGAGTACCACAACATGCATTTCTCCCATGGCTCGAGGTAGGGCTGGTGAATTCCAGTGTTACAAACACACACCAGCTCCAGAAACGAGATATTTTGTGCCTCTTTTCTTTAGACCTGGAACTTACGAAGCAGACAAGCAATTACACAGAAAAGTCACTTGGCCGATGAAATTTGGGTCTCCAGACTGGTCTTTAGTGCCCACGCCAGCAAGGAAGATGCTAAAAATGGAGGTACAGAAGGTAAGGACAGGGATGAGGGGATGTTATTCCTGGTTTAATGCTTCTGACAAAGGAAATTGGATGATTACTTCAAGCATTTGTGCTATCTTTTGTAATCTTTCCTCCCCGGCCTGCTGGGTAAGTGGCTGTACTTGCTTGGGGCACAAGATACAAAGTGATTCTCTATCAGCAAATGCTGCTTTACGGAAATGGTTACAAAACAAACCTCTACTAAGAAATTTGCTCTGGAAGTTTCCATCCGCAAAGTGAGAGAACCAGAGCACAGACTTCCCCGTGTAGCTCTACTGAAAAGAAAACCTTTCTGATTTAAACACGGGTTAAGGTTCTCAGCACCATCTGCTTTTCTGAAGCAACTGTCATTGCTAATATCTAACAGACAGTAGTTGTCTTTTAGCTGACTATGGACAAGGAATTTATGAAACACCGGGGTCGAGTGGCCTACCTGAGTTTATACTTCAGCCAAGAAGACCAGGCTGCCGCCGCACGTCCTCCCCCTTCAGCCAAGAAGCTTGGGTCTCGCCTCTGCTTCTCACCTCACCCACTTCTGGAGATGTTCATCTGCACTCCCCCAAATAAAACCATTTAAAAAAGAGGGATTTCTTGCCACTTCTTGTGCTTATCATGGTTAGGTGGGTGCTGCTGGGTCCCACGCACAGCACCCCTGGGCCCTGCTTCCTGCAACCCCTTGGCCCAGGCGGGGCTGGTGGCCATTTTCTCTGGGTTGCCATGGCAACCCCTCACTGAGCTGCGCTTCCCTCACCACAGGGGGCTTCTCCCCCCAACATCCACCCCCAAAATCCAGCCCTCGCTGGCACCAGAGGGAAGACAAATTAACACAGCTAGAGGGTGGCTTGGCTGCTGCCCCACACCACCTTTGCCTCAGCGCTGGGGGCAAAAATCCACCATTTCCCTCTTAGCCGCCATGGGTCTTCACCGGCTTCCTCAGCACCATCCCATCTCCAACAGACGCTCCAGGCTGGGCCCAGGGGTTCACCCACAGCCTGAGGAGAGCTGAGAAACACAGGGGTATACATGGCACAGCCGCCGGTGCTGCGTTGCCCTCAAGTATGCTCAGAGTAAAATGGTTTTGTGCATAGCCAGCAACTACATTAAAGTAGCAAACATCCTAGGG